GCATGTCCAACCATCCATGCATGTCCAACCATCCATGCATGTCCAACCATCCATGCATGTCCAACCATCCATGCATGTCCAATCATCCATGCATGCCCAACCATCCATGCATGTCCAACCATCCATGCATGTCCAACCATCCATGCATGTCCAACCATCCATGCATGTCCAACCATCCATGCATGTCCAACCATCCATGCATGACCAACCATCCATGCATGTCCAACCATCCATGCATGCCCAACCATCCATGCATGACCAACCATCCATGCATGTCCAACCATCCATGAATGCCCAGCCATCCATGCATGCCCAACCATCCATGCATGCCCAACCATCCATGCATGCCCAACCATCCATGCATGTCCAACCATCCATGCATGCCCAACCATCCATGCATGTCCAACCATCCATGCATGTCCAATCATCCATGCATGCCCAACCATCCATGCATGTCCAACCATCCATGCATGTCCAACCATCCATGCATGTCCAACCATCCATGCATGTCCAACCATCCATGCATGTCCAACCATCCATGCATGTCCAACCATCCATGCATGTCCAACCATCCATGCATGCCCAACCATCCATGCATGTCCAACCATCCATGCATGTCCAACCATCCATGAATGCCCAACCATCCATGCATGCCCAACCATCCATGCATGCCCAACCATCCATGCATGCCCAACCATCCATGCATGTCCAACCATCCATGCATGCCCAACCATCCATGCATGCCCAATCATCCATGCATGCCCAATCATCCATGCATGCCCAATCATCCATGCATGCCCAATCATCCATGCATGCCCAATCATCCATGCATGCCCAATCATCCATGCATGCCCAATCATCCATGCATGCCCAACCATCCATGCATGCCCAACCATCCATGCATGCCCAACCATCCATGCATGTCCAACCATCCATGCATGCCCAACCATCCATGCATGCCCAATCATCCATGCATGCCCAATCATCCATGCATGCCCAATCATCCATGCATGCCCAATCATCCATGCATGCCCAATCATCCATGCATGCCCAATCATCCATGCATGCCCAATCATCCATGCATGCCCAATCATCCATGCATGCCCAATCATCCATGCATGCCCAACCATCCATGCATGCCCAACCATCCATGCATGCCCAACCATCCATGCATGTCCAACCATCCATGCATGCCCAACCATCCATGCATGCCCAATCATCCATGCATGCCCAATCATCCATGCATGCCCAATCATCCATGCATGCCCAATCATCCATGCATGCCCAATCATCCATGCATGCCCAATCATCCATGCATGCCCAATCATCCATGCATGCCCAACCATCCATGCATGCCCAACCATCCATGCATGCCCAACCATCCATGCATGCCCAACCATCCATGCATGTCCAACCATCCATGCATGCCCAACCATCCATGCATGCCCAATCATCCATGCATGCCCAATCATCCATGCATGCCCAATCATCCATACATGCCCAATCATCCATGCATGCCCAACCATCCATGCATGTCCAACCATCCATGCATGCCCAATCATCCACGCATGCCCAATCATCCATGCATGCCCAATCATCCATGCATGCCCAACCATCCATGCATGCCCAACCATCCATGCATGCCCAACCATCCATGCATGCCCAACCATCCATGCATGTCCAACCATCCATGCATGCCCAACCATCCATGCATGCCCAATCATCCATGCATGCCCAATCATCCATGCATGCCCAATCATCCATGCATGCCCAATCATCCATGCATGCCCAACCATCCATGCATGTCCAACCATCCATGAATGCCCAACCATCCATGCATGCCCAACCATCCATGCATGCCCAACCATCCATGCATGCCCAACCATCCATGCATGTCCAACCATCCATGCATGCCCAACCATCCATGCATGCCCAATCATCCATGCATGCCCAATCATCCATGCATGCCCAATCATCCATGCATGCCCAATCATCCATGCATGCCCAATCATCCATGCATGCCCAATCATCCATGCATGCCCAATCATCCATGCATGCCCAACCATCCATGCATGCCCAACCATCCATGCATGCCCAATCATCCATGCATGCCCAACCATCCATGCATGTCCAACCATCCATGCATGCCCAACCATCCATGCATGCCCAATCATCCATGCATGCCCAATCATCCATGCATGCCCAATCATCCATGCATGCCCAATCATCCATGCATGCCCAACCATCCATGCATGTCCAACCATCCATGCATGCCCAATCATCCATGCATGCCCAATCATCCATGCATGCCCAATCATCCATGCATGCCCAATCATCCATGCATGCCCAATCATCCATGCATGCCCAACCATCCATGCATGTCCAACCATCCATGCATGCCCAATCATCCATGCATACCCAATCATCCATGCATGCCCAATCATCCATGCATGCCCAACCATCCATGCATGTCCAACCATCCATGCATGCCCAACCATCCATGCATGCCCAATCATCCATGCATGCCCAATCATCCATGCATGCCCAATCATCCATGCATGCCCAATCATCCATGCATGCCCAACCATCCATGCATGTCCAACCATCCATGCATGCCCAATCATCCATGCATGCCCAATCATCCATGCATGCCCAATCATCCATGCATGCCCAATCATCCATGCATGCCCAATCATCCATGCATGTCCAACCATCCATGCATGCCCAATCATCCATGCATGCCCGCACCCCCAGCCCCTCCCAGCCCCACCCCACCTGCAGCGACTCCTGGTTGGCGAGCGGCAGGAAGGTCCAAACGGCGATGCGCTGTTCGATGCGCGCGATGACGTCATCCTCGCCCTTCTCCATGAACATGCCGCTGCTCGTGCGCACCGTTGATACCGACACGTGCCCATCCACGCCGTCCACCACCGATGATCTGACGGCGGGGAGTGAGGGGAAAAGAAAATAGGGGTTGGAGCGAGGGGGCTACGGAGGGAGGAGTGGCCAGAGAGAGTGGGGAAGGGAAGAGGAGGGGGGAGGGAGGGGGAGAGGGGGGTGGCTGGAGTGAAGGGACTGGTCTAATGTTTTGACAAAACACTACGGTCACTTTTGAGGCGCCCAATAAAATACGCTACTGATTGCGGTGACTGCGTTCTTGAGTTTGCTAGTCTCCACTTCCCGCTGCAGACTCACTGCTCGTCGACTCACCGCTGTAAGCGAGGCGACGCCTGTACGACTTACCGCTGCAAGCGAGGCGTCGCCTGTGCGACGATGTGGTCGCACTCCTCCTCCGACAGGAACCGTTTGAACAGATACGCGCGCGGCCGCCACGACGACAGCTGGATCACGCGCCGCTCGCCTTCATCGCCACCGCCGCCGCTTGCCGTGTCGAGGCGCAGCGTTAGCGACGGGTTCCCGCCATCCTCGACAGAAGAATCAGCGGAATCTGCGGAAGCGTTAGAAGCGGTGGAATCGGCGCTTTCTGCGGCAGCGACATTGGCGCATGTTTTGGCCTCTGCTCCTGCCGTGTCGGAAGCTGCCGTGCATGTCTCGACATTGCCGCGATCTGCCGCTTCGGCCGCAGCAACCAGAGATATGTGTAATGCGAACGCTGCGCCGAGTAGCAATACAAAGGCAGTTAAGACGAAACGACGAGCGGCCATTGCCGCCCAGGTTACTGAGCCTATGAGAGAACTGTACGGAGTGAATGAGCAAGGAGCGGACGGTCACAGACAAGAAAATGGGAGGGATGCTATCACGCGAGGCAGATCAAAATGGGGGGGGAGGGTCCTAGACGCGAGGCCTTAGAGAAGCCAGGTAAGGCGCGTAGGCAAGATCCGTTGAAGGGGACAATGTCGTGAACTTGCTTTGCGACGCGGCGGAAGCGAAGCAGAGTAGTTGAATAAGACGGTTGAGTTTGAGCGAGATGGTGCTTTGGGGAGGAGAGGGACATGATGTTTTGGGGGAGTTCGAGAAAGCAACCAAAGCAGAAACAAGAATTGGTCACATGGCATAGCATTCCGTACCGGCCGCGAGGTCGTGCGAAAATACAAGCGAAGCACTTTCCGCTGCAAGCGAGTTCGCCGTAATATTGTTCGTCGATGAAAAATTGCTCGCTGGCGCAAATTGACCAGGGCAATGTGACGTCGGTGTGGGATACCCTTGGCACTCGCATGGGGCGGAAACCTTGAAATTTGTCGGTGATGTCCAGCGAAGCTGGAGGGATGCTGAGTTGTCGAGCTTGCCAGCCTGTATTCATACTTCGCCATCGTGGAGCGCAAACTTGGCAGTACAACCTGTCAAATTCAGGCTCAGAGCCAATGGAGGCTCAGCTTTCCTCCATGCTGTCACACCGGCAGCCCTTAGTTCCGGGAAGGAGTATTGATGGTCTGTAACAAGGCATTCTGTATTAGTGTCAAAAAATACCCCATACTTAGGGGAATTGAATAATATACACAACATTCAACTCAAAGTATATCCTCCCGGGTCTCCCCACCATCATCGCCTTCTTCACCTTCTTCTTGAGACGGCAACGGTATGCGAGTGTTCATCATTCTCCGACTAGAATGGCCAAAGGGATCCCGGAGCGGCATGCTTAGGTGCTTCTCTAAAGAATTTGCAACTACTTCGGGAGAATCTTGAAGCGATCTTGTCGGAAGGAGTTCGCCATATGCGTTCGGTATGGTCTTAAGAATGTATTGCATGACAGACTCGGGAACTGTAGGCTCCCCGGAGAAGAACAGCATGTGAACCTGAACCATAACCTGCAAACAAACAACCCCAACAAGCAAACAGCAATGTGAGCACGGGGCATACAGAACAGAGGAGAGCAATTCAGACAGTATCCACTATCCACCTAAAACCTCCAACGATGAGATTACCCACTGCACGGAGAAAGCGGCAGCTAGGACCAGGCAACATTGACCTGGCCTATGGCATACATTAATACTGTGTGCCATAATAATGTCACGCTCACCCTCGGGAGGATATTGCACATGTTACAGGCGAAAACGGTTTTGAGGATGTCTGGTCGCACGAGAAAGAGCAAAGCAGAGACGATTGCTGTGCCGCACCATCCATTCATCTTCCTCACGTGCAGCATAAGCACTCACCCTTGGGAGAATGTCGCGCACGTCACACGCGAAGGCGGTTTTGAGGAAGCTGAACGCAATGTCGGGTCGCAGCAGGAAGAGCGGGCGCACAAACTCCCTCACGTGCCCCGCCTTGATGTCGTCTGCTGTCAGCACCGGTGCACAGTTGCGCACCCACAGCTGCGAATAGGGGCGGGCAGAGCAGGGGCAGGGAGGGTGAATGTGTGTTTAGGTTGAGCCTGGAACCTCTTGCACACGAGCCGCCTTGATGTCGTCTGCTGTCAGCACTGGGGCACAGTTGCGCACCCACAGCTGTAAGCGTGGGAGGGGCAGGGCAGGATAGGGGAACAAAAGAATGAGGCTACATGCGCTTTCCCACATCCCGCCTTGATGTCGTCTGCTGTCAGCACTGGTGCACAGTTGCGCACCCACAGCTGCGAATAGGGGAGGGCAGGGCAGGGCGAGGGTGAATGTGTGTTTAGGTTGAGCCTGGAACCTCTTGCACACGAGCCGCCTTGATGTCGTCTGCTGTCAGAACGGGTGCACAGTTGCGCACCCACAGCTGCGAGCAGGGCAGGGGAGAACAGGGCAGGGATGGCGGGGCAGGGAGAGAGAATGTGGCTGATTTGCTCTCAAGACAAGTCACGTCCATTTGACATGAGTCTGCAAGCAGTTTCACACATGCCCCGCCTTGATGTCGTCTGCTGTCAGCACGGGTGCTCAGTTGTGCACCAACAGCTGCGAGCAGGGCAGGGGAGAAGAGGGCAGGACAGAGAGGGCAAAGGCAGGGCAGAGAAGGATAGGGAGAATCGTTGTGATGAACTGTGTTTCGGAAAGAAATGTGAAAGCTTTGGCGGAAAGAGTGTTTACAGAACGAGAGGCGCACATTACACTCACCTTGAAGTTGCCCTGCATGATGCCAAACACCTGATCCAGATCCTCTAGTGCGTAGCTCCCTTCATACTGTCGCGCTATTAACACTTAGCCGCAAGCTAAGTGTGAATTGCACAGCAGCTAAGGTAATGATGTGCTATATTCTTTTTGTTTGTATTCTAATGTCTTTCGTGTGCTTGGAATGTACTGTACTGTCCGAATTTCTGAGGGATTTCGAGGTGGTTGGTGGGAGGCGAATTCAAGGTGGATGGTGGGAGGCGAATTCAATTCCAGCCTGTGCATTCAATTTCGAAGTCACCAGGCTGGAAGGCGGTGCATGCCTAGCTAGCCCAGTGGGAACCAGCTAGCACCTTGGAGCCCTCGCGAGCAGCTCGGCTGACTCGCTTGGTGCACAGGAGCTTGCTTGTGGAGGAAGCAACCTAGGCAGGAGGCGAGAGTAGATGTAGGCAGGAGTAGCACTCGGACTCCTTGCTTTTTGCTTGTTTGTTTCTCTTAATACTGCAATTCGTTTCCCAACCAAGGAAGCAAGCAGCTAGGAGAAGCTAACAGCAAACTGACGGAGCCCTTACACTCACCTTGAAGTTGCCCTGCATGATGCCAAACACCTGATCCAGATCCTCTAGTGCGTAGCTCCCTTCATACCCCTCTGCTCCCAATAGCCTGCTCGCTCAACAAGGGAAAGAGGGGGCGTGTGAGGGAATGTGGGAGGATGAGAGAGTGGGGGAGGCATGAAAGCCACACGGAAGCAGGCGTGAAGGTATGGCACATGTGTGTTACTGTGGTATCCAGCCTCACAATCCAATCACGTCCCTTGGAACTGCCATGATGACCTCAGGCCTGGTTACCACGATGACCCCAGGCCTGGGTACCTTTACGATCCAGGACTGGTTACCGTGTAACAAGGCATGACTCATCGGGGCGAGGAGCTGAGCAGCACGATGCGCTTGAGAGTGTGGGGCGTTCCAAGGATGCCAGCAGCGCCACCATGCCCGCCTGCTGCTTGCTCTTGTGGCAACTCGAAGCAATCTGGTTACCACGTAACGAAGAATCACTCACCGCGGTGAAGAGCTGAGCAGCACGATGCGCTTGAAGAGTGTGGGGCGTTCCAAAGATGCCAGCAGCGCCACCATGCCCGCCTGCTGCTGCCCCACCACCGTGCACTGCTGCCCCCGCTCCCACCCCTGCATGCATGCACCAGCACGCGCACACGAACCAGAAGAGGGGTTCAGCGGGATTCAGAGGAATTCAGAAAAAATCAGAGGAATTCAGAAAAATTCAGAGGAATTCAGAAAAATTCAGAGGAATTCAGAAAAATTCAGAGGAGTTCAGAAACATTCAGAAAGTTCAGAGGGATTCAGAAAAATTCAGAGGGATTCAGAAAAACTCAGAGGGATTCAGAAAAAATTAGAGGGATTTCAGAAAGAATCAGAGGGATTCATAATATTTGATGTTGCCATCGCTCGCTCCCACACCTGCATCGCCATGGCATTGCCCCACGCGTACACGCGGAACCGGGGAGAGCAAGTCACGGGGATTCAGAGCGGTGCAGATGGAGGAAAAGAGGGGAGCAGTGGAGCATGAACGCAGGAAAACAAGGGGCACGAACCTCGACGCAGCAGCAGCAACAGCAAGTCGTCTGGGTGTTTTTGAGAATTTGCAGGGTGTTTTTGAGATATTGATGAAACGCCCTGCAAAATCAAGGGGCACTGACCTCGACGCCCAGCTCGTGCAGCAGCAACAGCAGGTCGTCCGTGAAGCCGTGCAGCGTGCTGTAGCGCTGGTAGTCAAACGCGTCATAGTCCGTGCTGTGTGTGTGGGGACAGAGGGAGGGAAGGAGCAGCATTAGAGAGCAGAGTGTATCACGCGTGAGATGAAGCCATGCAGCGTGCTGTAGCGCTGATAGTCAAACGCATCGTAGTCCGTGCCGTGAGGGGGAGACAGACGGGGCGAGGGGTGGGGAGAGGTGTGAGGTGCATCTTGAGTGAGGTAAAGCTGTGCAGCGTGCTGTAGCGCTGGCAGTCAAACGCGTCATAGTCTGTGCTGTTGGGGGGGACATGGGGGGGGGGGGGGAGACGGAGAGGGAGGAAGTGGGCAGGGGGGAAGGGATTATGGTAGGATGAGAGGGAAGTTGGTCCGTGAAGCCATGCAGTGTGCTACATGGGCCATGCAGTGTGCTGTAGCGGTGGTAGTCAAACGCGTCATAGTCCGTTCTGCGAGCGGGGAATGGGGCGGGGGAAGGGAAGAGAGGGCGCAAAAGAGGGAGGTGAGTCGAGCAGCGTGCAGGGTGCTGTAAGGCTGGTTGGTGGTCAAGGGCATTGTAGTCTGTGCTGGCTACGGTGTGTAAGTAGACGACTTTTGAGACGTCTCAAAAGTGCTGTAAGGCTGGTTGGTGGTCAAGGGCATTGTAGTCTGTGCTGGCTACGGTGGGGAAAGAGAAGGCACAAAGGAGGGAGGGAGGTGAGGCAAGCAGCGCGCAGCGTCCAGTGGTGCTGGTAGCCAAATGCGTCGTAGTCCGTGTTTGTGTGTGGGGGAGGGGGTGAGAAGCACGGGGCACAGGGATATGATGGTGACTTTTGAGACGTCTCAAAAGTCGTCTACTTACACAGGGATATGATGGTGAATGAGAAAAGAGACACTAGGCGACTTTGTAACGAGGTGACTTTTGAGTTGACTTAAAGAGCTGGCAGCGAGGGTCAAATCAGGAGCTTTCAAAAGGTCTTAACGCTGCTAGAGAGGAGTGCTAGAACGGACTGCTAGAGTGAAGGGCCATAGCGGCTGGCGCTTACCCCAGAGCACCTGTTACGTTGTAGAGAACAATCTTATAGCGCGTCTTGTCCAGTGCCTTGATTACACCGCTCCATACCTGTAATTCATCACCACCCAGATGAAACGGGAGATGAAATGGGAGATGAAACGGTAGATGTGAAACGGTCGTTACAAGGCGAATGGTGACCAAACATAAGGTTATTCATGACTGTAGCACGGTCACTGACAGAGCGGGTTCGGATCAATCATGTGGGGACCAACAAAGTGGTTACTGATAATGCGGTTATCAGTGGGGTGGTTACCATTGATGTGGCTACCAGTGAGGTGGTTACCAGAGGGGTGGTTACCTCGGGTGCCACCCACGTTCTTGTTGAATCCGAAGCCGTGTGAGAACACCAGCAGCCCTTTTGAGTCGACTCAATAGGTACCATTGAGGTGGTTACCATCAATGTGGTTACCAGTAAGGTTGTTACCACGGGTGCCACCCACGTTCTTGTTGTATCCGAAGCCGTGTGAGAACACCAGCAGCTCCGGTCCCGAGCCTATGATCTCCACGTCGTGTCTCTCCAAGGCTGTTTTGGAGGCTCGGAGCTTGGCTGCTTGCATCGCTCTGGGAGGGACAGACGGAATGGGGGAAAGGAAATGGGGGAGCGCATGGGAAGAGAGCGGGGAGTTGGGAAGGGATGGGGCGGGGGGATGGAACGGGGGAACACGATAGGGGGACGTAATGGGGGACAAGAATGGGGGAGGGGGATAAGGGAACCGGATGGGGGAACTGAACGGTCGAAGGGAACGGAGGTACGGATGGGGGAGCGGGATGGGGGAACAGAAGGGGAGAACGAATCGGGGGAACGGATGTGGGTAACGGATGTGGGGAACGGATGTGGGGAACGGAATGGGGGAACGGAATGGGGGAACGAAATGGGGGAACGGATGTGGGAAACGAGCCTCCTCACCTCATGGCTGCCGCATTTTGCGCTTTGTTTCCCCCTGCGCCACCGCCTCCCCCGCCGTGTTCCGACCCCGTGGCGAGCATCCCCGCGTACGTGCTCCCCGTCAGCCCCCCCAGCCCCTCCAGCCCCGCCAACCCCGCGTACATCGACGCTGCGCGCGCCGACCCGTTCCCCCCGCCGCCCCCCGCTCCCCCTCCCCTTCCCGCGCCCATCCCGTGCATGCTCCCGCTTCCATACACACCCCCGCCGCTAAACATCCCCCCATTTCCGCCGTTTCCGCCGTTTCCGCCGTTTCCCCCCCGGTTGCTCCAGTCTCCCCCGCCGGTTCTCGAGTCGTCCCAGCCACACCGCGAATCTCCCGCCGCCGCTTCTCTAGAAGCTGCAAAGCCATTGATCGGGGAACCGGGCAATTCGCTTCGTTGGCCTGAATTTCCGAAGGGTAACCCGTTTCTTCGCCCGCTTTCGCCACCGGAGCGTTCGGAGCTGCTGTCATGCGATTTGATGCTGCTGACGGAAACGTAATGCGCAGATCCTGGCCGTTGATCTGCGCCGTTAATAGCGGCGAGTTCGCCTGAGAAGGACGTGGGTGTGACTCTAGCGGGGTTACGTTCGTCCATGTCGTCCCCCCTTATAGCGGGTCTGCTAAAACAGCCACCCATGATAAATTCAATTCGGAGTGGAAGTTGAAAAGTTATGGGTCAAGTATTTTAAGATTGACGCGGCGGCGTCGGAATTCAGGAGAATTAACCCACGAGTCGCCCTAAAGTCGGAAAAAAAACTAGGAAATCCACTCTGGCAGAGCCTCTGCTGAAGTATCAGCGGTAATTTACGGGAATTACGCGTAGGTGCACGTTGACCTGTGCGTATATACTACGATGGAAGTTCAGACGTTGAAGCGAAACAAGTCGAATGCGAGCCCCCTGACTTACTAGAAGCTGTACATTACTGATCAAAAAGATATTTCGAGGTGCTCGAACTGGGAGAATCACTAACCAAGTTAATACATGGGGACACGGTGGTGGTTTCCACAATTTTGATATCTGTTAGTGTTCAGGCAGTGTACATTGCTACTTGGAGGGAGCCGAAATCGCGTTGGGGGAACTGCGGGTAGGGAGGAGAGGAGTTGGTGTCTCCACAAAGAATTGGTGAGTGGATGCTGAAACGCTGGAATAAATTCCGCGTCTCCGCAATGGTGAGTTACGGAGCTCTATTACCTTTCTGTCGTTCAGTACAACTCGTCTGAATAAAGACACGCTGAACAAGCAAGCAAAAAACTGCAGAGCTTCGAAACCTGTCACAGGTTTTTGGAGAGACAGAACAAGCAAGGCAAACAAACTGCATTGTGGTGGATCGCACGAGCACTACAAGTGATGCCCACCCCATGCACGCGAATTTGCTCTGCACCGGATAGAAATGCTGCACCCGAGGTTTTTTTCCCCAGCCTGTTGCACCCACGGTACAAGCGCGTCGCGGGGTTATGAACCAATAGTAACGAAATGACCAAAGTCAAACGGAAGAGACTGAAGTCAAAATGTCAACGAACAAGGTTACAGATCTTTCATATAAGCACCTGCGAATCCTTTTAAGCTAGTTGCGAATTGACGAAACTTAGGCGAAACACAAGACACGGTTGATACGCCCCCTTCATAAGGCAACTGGGAGGGGCTCAATCAGGCATCATGTGTACACCCATCTCTATGCACGTGTCGTGGCGAGCGACTGCCAGATTCCAAACTTGATCACAGCAGGCGGCTGGCGGCGGCGGGAGGCGGAGGAGAGGCGGAAGAGAATAGGACTGGGCTCGGGACTCGGGCGGGTGGGATGGGGGAGGGATTCGAGGCGCAGAAGGAATAGGTGGAGGGGGATGAGGATGCGGCAGAGTAGGAATTTTCGAGGGAGATTGCTGATGAGCTGAGTATCTACCTACAACCGTGAACCTTTCCCATAATTCCGGGCAATATATCCTTATGATACGGCGAATAGATCTGGAGCCTCAGTCCCAATATCTTCAGTCTAGACAGCTGTCAACGGTTTGCATAACCAAGTTGAACACTTCCACGGCAGTGTGGGTCTTGTCTCACTTCAACGCAAGGACATTCACCCGAGACTTAAGGGTAGTTGTAAAACGAAAACATATGTGCCTTCGGGCATCCTATGCACCCACGTGCCACCCCCCCTTGTCCACCCAAAGGGGGATTTCCCCCCTCCTTACCCACCCACCCCATCATTCAATCACCCGCATGAATACAGTAGAAATTGCTGCTGCGTGGTCCGCGTGCATGTCATACAGTATCCGCCACCCCCCTAGTTGTGACGCACAGTAATCCCCCCTGTGTTTTGTGGGCAAGGGGGGAAACCCCCGTACAGTAATCTCAATCTTTCAACCCCCGTGACGTGACGTGAACCCCGCAAGTCGACACGACAGCGAGGCGCAACGAATGGTCAGAAGGCGAGGAGAATGCCATCGATTAAGATGTGGTTGTCTTATCCACCCGTCTATAGCTGACAAGTGGAACGACTTTTGTGAATGTGGCGGCGGCTAGTGGCAGGGTGCCCACACAAACATAGCATACGCGAATACTCTGTTGGTTCATGTCTCAGGGTGTGTTTCTATCCCTTGTCAGACATCAAGTCATGCGGCCTTAGTCTCCAATTTGTCTCTTCCTAACTTCCAAACGCCCCAAAAACGAGGCACTTCGGGTCTTCCGAACCTTCACTTCGTGTCAAACCTAAAGTCTGACACAGGATTAAAACACGCCCTAAATCCAAACCAAACCCTTCATGTCATGAATCGGCCGTGGAGTGTTTCGAAGAGTTTCAAGAATCGACAAACCCCCGACACTGACATCACATGCAGTGTTGGAAGATGTGACTGCGACCAACCCTCTGCGAACCCAAAATTCGTCGAGCGCACTGTCAGATTTTGACTCGGTAGCCGAACGGCAACATGGCGGTCGGAAATGTGGCAGTCTCAAAAATATTGTTCGATAAATATGGTTTCTCTGAACAATCACCTCTTGCCAACGCAGGGTGCCCGAAACAGCAAAAAGGGGCCTAAATTACCTACCAGTCCATCGTTCCAACTTGCACTCCCGTCGAAGTCAAAAGTTCCCAAAACGGTTTTATTAGGTGGAGCCTTGTCCAACTTCGCTTGTAAAGCGCCACTGCCGCAGTTCAATTTATACTTGTAACACAATTACTATTTCATGATACTTGAAACAGTGCGTATACAAGTAATATCCAAAGGTAAAAACAGCTTCACTAAAAAGTTCCACCAAAAACACTACATCAGCAGTCCTACCAGTTCAGTACAGAAGAACAAAATTTGACATAAATCCACCGCAACAGCATCATCAAACCTCAGCACAACCAGTCATGACACAAACATCCAAACCGCACTCCACCCCACCCCTTGGCTGATCCGAATACCCCCTCGACTTGAGAACCGACTCAAAGAAGCTCCGGAACGTGTCAGAGCAGTCCGGCGGCGTGAGAAACACCACATCGCGCAACGTGCGGCTTCTCAGAAGCTTCACCATCGCCGGCTCTTGCACCACCCCCCCTAAAGTCACCCGCCGGAGACACGGCGACAGCGAGAGCAGCCGAGCAGCATCAGGGGAAAGCAGGTCTAGGCACAGCGGAGCAGAGGCTACCGGGCAGGGCGCGGGGCGGAATTCAATCTCTTGGATCGCGAGCGAAGGGCAGGAGGCTAGCAGCGCGAGCTCGAGTGAGGCTAAGGCGGGAACAGTGGCAGACTGGACGCCTTCGAGAGAGAGGAAGAGGTAGGTGAGCGCGGGGGGCTGGGAGAGGAAGGCGAGGGAGTAGTGGTGTGGTGGGAGAGGAAGAGTGTCTTGGTCCAGAGCGCCATAGAGGGAGAGGAAGAAGAACTTGAGGTTGGGGCAGGAGGCCAAGCCAGCACTGCAAAGGAAATGGGCGAGGAGAGGAGGGGGAAGGACCAGCAGGGAAGAACAGCAGAGCAGCGAGGAGGAAGGGAGGACAGAACGAGCAGGTAAGGCAGGGGAGGAATGAAACACGATGGGCCAAACTCACCCAACTTCTGGGCCTCGGATATTCACTTCAGCAGGGAAAAAGCATGTGACCAGAGAAGTACCCCTGGGAATTAAAAATGTTCTGGAAATTGGAACGAAGGGAAAATATACCTGAGCAAGGGAGAAAACGAAGCGTCGACAGAGACTTCGAGGCAGAGCGACTCGAGAGCGGAGAAGCAGGCGAGGGGCAGCGGGGGGCTGGTGTGGGTCCAGGAGGCGGTCATCTGAATGCCCTTGAGGGTCGTGCGCGCTGGCATGAGTGCATGCAGCAGCTCGTGCGAATCCACATTGTCACACTGCAGGGGTGGGGTGGGGCGATGGGATGATGGGGCGATAGAGGTGAGGAATCAGAAAGAGGAACAAGGGGACTGGGGGAGGGTGGGGGGGCTGGTGTGGGTCCAGGACGCGGTCATCTGAATGCCCTCGATTCGAGGGTCGTGCGTGCTGGCATGAGTGCGAGCAGCAGGGCGTGCGAATCCACATTGTCACACTGCAGGGGTGGGGTGGGGCGATGGGGATGGGGCGATGGGGATGGGGCGATGGGGTGACAAAGAGGTCAGTATGAGAATTTGGTCAAGGTCCAAAATGGGACGGTGAGTGCACAGCGGCACGAAATAAAGGGGATGAACAAGGGGACTGGGAGGGGGTGGGGGGGCTGGTGTTAGTCCAGGAGGCGGTCATCTGAATGCCCTTGAGAGTTGTGCACGCTGGCATGAGAGTGTGCAGCAGCGCGTGCGAATCCACATTGTCACACTGCAGCGGGGTGGGGGGACGGGGTGATGGGTGATGGGATGAGTGGGGCGACGGGGTGACGGGGCAATTGAGTGCATACTGTTGTACTGTTGAGTACATGGAAATCCACATTGTCACACTGGAGGGGTGGGGCGATGGGGCGACAGGATGGCATAGAGACGGGGTGAGAATGGACATTCCTTCACGATCTGAAATGGTACGTTGTGCGCACATAAAGGTAAGTTTAGAAGGGGGAAAACAAGAGGACAGACGACTGGGGGAGTGTGGGTGGGCGAGGTTGGGAGAGGCTTTCAGCAAAAAACACACACCATACCCCACACCCACCCACTCCACGCACCACGACC